ACGAGGTTCTGAAAGAACACTTCCATTGCTTTTTTTAACACCAGCTCAGGTGCTTGATTACTATAGCCACAGACATGTATATGTAAAACCAACACGCACAGTACTGCTTAAATCCAAAATGCAGTACATTCTTATGAGTACGAGAGCTCCAAAGGGTATCTGCACGAAAGAGTGATTCCTGCACTCTTTACAGGAGCAGACAAGGCTAGCATGACCTCAACAGGCTCCCAGATGATCCTGTACTGGGAGGCACCCTCCCAGAAAAGATGCTCTGCAGAACATATGGATATACCTTTTGCCCACCAGATTCACACACCCACTTAAATAAGGCTCATTAACTGGAGGAGGAAAAATAACGTTGCTGAGACTCTTGTTTTCAAAAGCAAAGAATATCCTCTCTTGTTAGGTCTATACTTCTGATACCAGCTCACTTCCCTTCAGGAACAGCATTCCTCCACAAAATTCTTAACAGCACTGTTCCTCCTCTCTAAATCTATCTTCAGGGTGCAAAGCTGGGAAGTTAAAAAGAGCATCAGAAAACCTGAAAAAGCCTACCCTAACATTCAGCCCTGCCCTTGAAAAATTCTTCCGTACTTCTCAACACAGAGATTAAATGGATTTCCCTCAGCAGTCCTGCCTAAATGGTACCAATGCCTGAATCCTCAAGCTGCACAACTGCATCTTCAAAACACTGCACTCTTAAGTAAAACTGTCCCACTAAAAAAGCAGAACAGTTCATTAGAGCATTGCCCTCCTCCTTATAAAACACTTAATCTGATGTTAATTTGAGGGACAATAAATCTCTCATGCAAAGATCTGAGGGTCTTTTTAACCCAAATTATTCCTTTTGGATTTGGCTGTGACTACCTTTCTTCCAGATCAGCCCTGCCAAGGCCAATGCATACCAAGGGCAGCGAGCCACCACTCAATCTAATCTAGCAAGAACAGAAACCAGCACAAGGCAGCACATGGCAGTCGCTCATGTGACAGATGGCTTTGTGGCACTGCTTTGTATTCACACACCCGGAGCTCTCTGCAGCAGAACAACACACCTGCAATGGGCTACCCCAGCAGCTGGAACCCTTGTCAGCCCCTGGCATAGCAGGAGATCATCCCTTCCAAGCCCCAGAGGGAGAAGCTGCAGCCTCCCTCCATCTCGCTCAGCCGCAGGATCGCAGCTAGAGCCATCTTCTCCTGGCCTCGCTCCTTCTCCCCAAAGGACGGCTGATGGAGCAGCACCTGCCCAGCGCTGGACTGGCCACAGCCAGAGGCACCACAGCCTCCCTGCAGCAGGGACAGGCAGAGTGAGAGCAGGAGTGCTGCGGAGAGGAGAGCCCACCGAGAACTGAGGAGAAACAAGGAAACACAGATACTGCAGCTGAGTTCCCAAACACAGACTAGAAATCCATTTCATGAGGCTCCATGTGCACAGGGACGGGAGTTCTTTCACTTCGTTTTTCAGGTGACGGTAACTCAGCACCAGACATTCAGAAATTGTTTTTCTCTGCTACACTGCAGTAAACATTTTTAAACTACTGTGATGAATCGCTTCTTTGCACGTTCTTCAACAAGGCTTGAGCATATAACAACATCCTGATGGGCTGCTATTTGTTTAGAACAAAATGTGGGAAGCTCATTCAATAACAAGCATCCAACACTACACCCTGCAAATAAATCTGTTTCAAGACACTGGGGAATCAGCTTCAGACTTTAGGCACTTTTCCCGTTTTACAGGTACATTGGGATCCACTAGGAATCCCAACAGATGGCTACCAAACCAGTTTGTGTGGTAACAAAGTTCTTACTCTACAGACCCTACAAGCTTCACACCTTCAGAATTACTGACACATTATTCAACTTCTACTTGGATGAAAGCTAAGCAACCATCCCTTCACAAGCTGTGTTTTTTTAAATTAAAAAAAAAAAAAATAGGCTAAACTTAGCTAATGAACAGACCATACCAAATGTATGTCAATACCTAAACAGCTGCTAAGAACGCTGTTTCTCAAAATTCAATCCACAAAGAGCAGCAAGCTTAGCTGCTGGCTTGCTTTCATTCACACCTGCCTAGTTACGTGAAAAACAAGAAAAATTCTCTAAGTATTTTTCAAATACCTCTTTCCTTGCAACCAGGATCTAGAATCACTACAGAACTGTTTAAAAATCACAAGAGCTGACTTGCACAGCTATCTGCTAGACAGACACCAAGGCATGATATTATGAAATGCAGCACAAGGCACTTCTGAAGGTGTTAGAGCTAATAGAAAATGCTCCATTTTAGAAGACAGCAACACATTCAAGTTCAAGTCTTTGACCAAGGAATTCTGAATTACATACACAGAATGATTTTAAATATGATAGGCTGAAAACAATTCCACTTGAATCCTACAAGATGATATAGTGGGCTACTATGAAAAACATATTTACCACGTGCAATACCTGCACTTTTTAATTTCTCAGTTTGCTGCTGTATGGAAGGAGTACCATTTGACCCAGAAATAAATACAAGCTTCACATTGACCAAAATAATGTTATTTTTAAATCAGTTCATACCAGTAAGGTGCTCTACATAAAAGCATGTGGGAAATGAAAACACTATCTTCAGAAAAAGATTTAAATACCATGTTGTATGTGAGCCATAGAGCTACTGAACAATAGGAAAGAAAACGAACAATTACTTAATAATAGAGGTTAATAAGGTAATGAATGAGGCTACGTACATAGTATCACTACACAGTATCAATCACCCTACTTTTATAAAGGAGCTTAAAAGCAACATTAATTGCAGAATTCCCCAAGTTTTGGTTACTTTCATTATCAACCAAGATAGTCCCTTAGAAGCCTGATCACATATTTAATGCCCTAATTGAGTAATAACTTTGTGCAGACCTTCAAAACCTACATAGCAGCTTCATTTCTATATGGGATTCCTTAGACAAATTAGAATTATGCCAGCATTTAACGATGCACGACATGGGCTCCCCTGCCTTCTCCGGAATAAGATAAATAAAAATATTTTGGCAAGGAAACAGTCCCTCACTAGGAGAACTCTTCTTAGAATCTCCAGCAGTTTCTCACATTGAAGCATTGTATTCGGCAATACCAGAGTCTCCCACCTTAAAACAAGCTCTGCTTTTTGTTAGCAAATAAAATTAAGCTTGCCAATAAAAAGGTTCCCCTCCTGCTCAAAAGTTAAACTTCTGAGCTAACTTTAAGCATTAACTAGAGAAACACTGCAAATTGAAATCAGGGTAGAAGTTCTTCAGTCGTTTCCCAAAGTACAGAAAGATGAGGTTTCACACATACCTAAAAGCCTGCTGTCCTCACAAGTGCCACTTCTTGCTGCATGGTCCCAGCCCCTTTAACACACCCCTGGCTACTCCGTGAGCCAGTTCAACTCAATCATTGCAGGTAAATTATGACTCTTCCTTACCCCCACATTATTTCAGTCGTCTCCTAGAGTAACAAACTCAGTCTGCTCACCAAAAGGTCACACAAGTGTCAGGTCAGCAAAAGCATGATGTTCCTACAGCATGAACGAACACCTTGCTGCTGTCAGCCTCAACCAGCAGCAACCTTCAAAAGACTAAACATTAAAACAGCCCAATCTCCCTTCAAAAGCAAATAGGTCTTCTCCAGCTCCATTATAAATTCCAAGAAAACAAACCCAGCTGTGTCAAATGCTCATTAGCATTAGTTTTGCACGTGTACAGAAACATAAATGCAATTAGCTGAAATAAGAGGAAAAGGTCCACACAATTACCTTGCTCTACGGATGCAACACTGAGCTTCTCCCATTCAATTAATTATTTTTAATTAATTAAATATTTAGTTTAGATGCAATTAACTTAGAGTGCATATAGTTCCTAATCTCTTTGTGCATTTAAATGCAACATTTCTGAAATTCAACCATATTTCCATCTCTGAGATGGAAAGAAAGAGGAAGTTATGTGACAACTTAAAACAGTTTCTGAGGAGATCAGTTTCTGAAACGATGCAAGACCAGTGCAAGAAGCAAATGTAATTGAAAAAAAACACAAAGTTCATCTTTCCAAATCCAGACGTGAGTTTCAAGATGCTGTCAAAACGCTCACTCCCACCACTTTGTCCCAAGCACACGATCAAAGTGACAGTCACAGTGGCATCCTCTGATCTTCTGCCATGAAGTGACTAAATTGTGCCTCGTAATTTTCACAGTGCTAAAGCCTGCTCATTAATTCCACCCCAGGAGGAGAAATCTTGTCGATTTCTCCAAACAAAACTAAACCAAAACAAAAAAACAAACAAACAAACAAAAAACCAAAACAACAAAAAAACCCCCAAACCTAAAAACCCAGCAACGCCTACTACCCTGTCTGTCACAGGTTCGGGACTCTCACCCCTATTTACACTTCTGCATACTGTCGGGCGAGTGCAAGTTTATTTTCACAGCAAGCAGAAGCTCCCCTGTACCCGGCTCCCGCCGAACACGTCCCGGCTGCAGCCGGGGCCACCCGCGGGCCGGGCGCTCCGGCCCTGCCCGAGCCCCGGCCCTGCCCGAGCCCCGGCCCTGCCCCAGCCCCTCCGCGGCCCCGGCCCTGCCCGAGCCCCGGCCCTGCCCCAGCCCCTCCGCGGCCCCGGCCCTGCCCCAGCCCCGGCCCTGCCCCAGCCCCGGCCCTGCCCGAGCCCCGGCCCTGCCCCAGCCCCGGCCCTGCCCCAGCCCCTCCGCGGCCCCGGCCACTGCGAGCCGCGGTCCCGCCCCGCTCCCCGTGGGAGTGCGGCAGTGGGCAGGAAAAATGTTACTTCTTTAGTTTTTGCGGGGTTTTTTTTGTTTGGTTTTTTTTTTTTTTCCCCAAAAGGGGCTCTTCTCTCGCTCTTTGTGGGCCAGGCAGGGGACAGGTTTGGCGTCAAGGGCCACATGTCGAGGAGCGCACCCTCCCAGCAGCGGAGCCCCGGAGGGTCGGTTCCCTTCCCCGGCCGCCGAGGCTGCGGGGCTCGCCCGCCGCCGCTCTCGCACCCACCTTTCTGCGCCTCGGTGCCCCGCAGCAGCAAGAGGAGGAGGAGGCTGGGGCGGAGCAGCGGGGCCGCCCGCCGGGTCCCCGCGGGGCGCAGCCGCCCCGGGCTCACCATGGCCCGCGGCGTGGCCGGCGCGCCCGGCGGTCCCGGGGCATCGCGGGCTGCGGGGCGGCCGCGCCGGGCCGCGTCTGAGCGCTCCGCGCCCGCCAGCCCGCCCGTCCCCGCGGCCGCCCAACCGCTTCCGGGGGCGCGGCGGGGCCGCCCCGCTTCCTGCCGCCCTCCGCGCCGCTCGGCCGGGCCCGCGGCCCGGAGCCCCGGCGGCTCCGCCGAGCGCGGGGCCCCCTCCGCGCCCGCCCCGAGCCGCGCCCTCCCGGGCGGACTGCGCGGGGCTCACGGCCCAGGCCGAGTCCCCGGGAGCCAGCCCCTGAATTCCCACTCTCTTCCACCTCCGCCCTCCTCTGCGAACTGGCTACGAGTATTTCACTTTTTTGAGCTTTTTTTTTTTTTCCCTCGCTAAGTAGACATGAAGGCAAGATTTCTGGGAAAAACCCAAACAAAAGTCCTTGGAAACACGAGTATTGCAGTTGATAACAGAACGGCTAATCCGGTGTCAAAGGTTAAGCTGGTGTCAAAGCGCTCCACACACAAATGTGAATGCAGCTCTAGATGCGGGAGAGCTTGGCTATGAGGTCCCAAGCAATTGCAGCTTCAGCCCTTGTCCCCAGCTTTTGAACACACGCTGTCTGAGATGGGAGATATTTCCAGAGGTTGCACTGGAAATATCTTGTCTTTAGGAAGAAATTGTTCTCTGCTTCTTCCAAACAGCTCTGCAAAACAGATACCGGTTCCTGGCCAGTTGTGTCCAGTGCTGGCCCCATGAAAAGGACAGGAAAACCATCTCAGGGCCAGTCTTACCCAACCCACAGAGTTGCTTGAATAAGCATTTAGATTATGTTTAGTAATTGATTTAACATTACTATTCCTTATTAAGATGCTGAAAACTCAACTGTGGCCAAATCTATGCTTACGGCTTATTAAGGGCTTTGTACAAGGGCTATTATATATTATAGCCTGTTGACAAAGAAACATGGAGAGCATTACTTTTCCTTCCTTGAGTACCATACCCCATACCATCCATACCCCTTGTGCCAAATCATAGAAGATTCCACAATAGATTTGGATGCTCAGACTAAAGACAGCAAAATTTTGTTGCCCATTTTTTATTTGTTTGGCCCATACTTGTGCCACAGCTACTAGAAGGTGGCTTTTCATATAATTAGGGAATTATAAACACGAGAATTTTAGAACATTTCATATTTTTCCCTTTTGAAATCCTTTAATGACATGGGAAGATACCCAAATGAAAGCAAAATCAAGGAAGCGTATCACAGATTAATTTTTTTAAAGTCTTCTTACAAGATGTAATAGCCACCAATACATCCTGCAACACCTAATGGAAGGTGAATCAAAAACAATTTCCATACATTGCTTTGTGTTCCATTCATCAGACACAGAAGTTCATGCCATAGGTCATGCGGAGCAGTTACATCACTACAATAACATCCTTTCTGTACTACAGAGACCACATTCCTAAGATCACCAATCATTGGTGGTATTTGTTGTGCACTGGAAAAATCATTCCTTTAATAATTTCTGTCTTAGTGGTGCTGAGCATTAAGAGGAGTATCTGAACATCCTACACGTAATTTGGTAACACACCTGACAGAGGTTTTTTCCTGTGTTATGTTCTGTTCTCAAGGTATTTTGTGAACTTGATTTAACTATTCTAAATGGTTTATTGGTGCATGTAAAAAAAAGGAGCATCTGAATCTGTGAAAGGGTTGATTTCTAAATGGGGTGTGAAAACTTGCAGAATTCCTAAGAGCAGCCAGAGGCCAAATTTGCCTCATTTATCTTGGAAGTTTATCCCAAAGCTACATTCCCTGACCACAAATGGTTTTTGTGGACCTTAGCTTATATATTTTGCAAAGGGAGCACCACCATCCTGACAGAAGCAACAACAAACTATTAAAGGTTATACACCTTAAAAGACTCAAAGATTTATAGAATCTACAGAACCCAAGGATTACCAATGCAACTGTTTGAAAGACTTGTCTTAATATATGGTTTTCATGCAATAGAGCAATCTGAAGAATTAGATAAATCCAGATGGGGACTACAGCTTTCAGAATCTTCCTTCTGAGAAGATTCCAGAACAAAATGAATTTACGTACACCAGCTGCAGAGTACTGCATAGTTTGGTCTGTGAGAGCTCCCAGGCAGCTCCTCTGGGGAAAAAAAATTGTGTAAGAAAGACTTGATTTTAGTTTGTGACTTAGAACTGTCACTGTCATCAAATCAAAACAGATACAAATTAAAATGTTGTGGGAAGAAAACACAAATATAACAACATATGATACCAATCTCATAAGGCAAATTGCCAACATCTTTATGAAATCAGCACAAATACTGTTTTTTCAATATTGTAAGACAGAAGACCAAACCAACTCCTTAGTGCTGATAGAAGAATGTTTAGCCAACTAAGCATTTCTGTAATGTTTCCTTCCCATTGTGAGTAATTTCTAGAGGTAACTGAAACTATCATCTCCATCTGGTTCTCTCATTTCCCTCGAGAAGCTTCTGAGTGCTGGGCTTCTTTCCCACCATAGCTCTCTAGATTTTACATTCTTTTGTTGCATTTCAAAAGCTGAATTCAGCTGGAGGGCAGGGCTGCTATTCAGAGAGAGCTCCACCAGAGTAATTCCACGGTCTTGCATCTGGGAAGGAATAGCCCTGTCCAACAGTAGAGGCTGGGAGCTGTTTAGAAGCAGAAAAGGACCTCGATGTCCTAGAGGACAGTTTGAAGGTGTGTCAGCACTATGCCCTTACAGCCAAGGTGGCCAACAGCATCTTGAGCTGTATTAAGGAGAGGGCCAGGGGAACAATCTTTGATAACACCTCATCTCAGCCCTGTCACTGCTCTGGGGCTCCCTCCAGTATGAGAACAATAGAACAGGGTCAATCAAAAGGCCTCCAAAAGAGTCAGGGGCTGGAGAACGTGATGCACGTGAAGAGGTTGATCAAGCTGGGTATTTTCACATTGGAGAAAAGGAGACCCTGTTGCTGCTTACAACTCCCTGACTGCAGGACAGGACTGAAAAATGGAAGTAGCCTCTTCTCATAGGTGCACCATGATGACACAAGAGCCAACAGACACAAATTGCAGCGCAGTAAATTACTAGGTAAAAGGGAAATAATATACCATGAGGATGGTCAAACACTGGACTGGGTTGCTCAAAGATGTTGTAGAAAACCTCCATATTTAGAGATGTTCAGGACTCCCTTAGCCCTCATCAACTGGATCTGGTGAGACCTGTTTGAGCAAGGAGCTGAACTAGATACCCCTGAAGGTCCCTTCTGACCTGTTATGACTGCATGATTTTAAGGCACCAAGTGATGTTCTATGGGTGAAAGTCCTATAGTTCCAGGTCTAGATGTTCTAGAATCTAGCTTTTGTTGCTCTTGGCTACTTTTTTTTCATCTCATTTGGGATTTTTGGGTTTTGTTATAGCTTCAGTAAAAATTGTTCTACTCGTCTCTTTGCTCTCATTTTTTCTTTGCTCCAGTTTTTATTGCCTATTATGCTGATTATTTTTTAAGAATAACAACAATTTAAATTCATCCTTTTAGAAAGGAAAATGGGTATTGATTATATATTACTCACATCAATGTACGTTTAGAAACAAATTTATAAAGCCACTATGATATGGTGGCTTTATAAACCTGAGGTTTATTAAATGAACCTCAGGTTCATTATTAGTTCACTTCAGCTAGGAGCCTCATGACTGTACATAAGACACATTTATTTGACACTCTAGACTTATTTAGTTGCTGAGTGGTCTGTGTTTTTAAAAGAGAATAAACACTTAACATTTAGCTCTGGATTATTTTAGTAAGAAACATCTGTGAATTTTACTGTGCTGAAAGTCATTATCTGGGGAAAACAGTAGCATAAATTCCAAGAATTTTTTTTTTTTTTTACATTTTTACTGCACTGTATATATGAAACAATTCAGAGAAGATGGTGATATGAAAAACACTATTTTTTTCTTATTTAAACAGTGTAAATAGGGAAAGAAAATATTAGGGAGGATCTCTTACTGTCTTCTACTCTTGAACAAATTCTTGTTTATTTGAACAATGGCCGATTGTTAAGATCCTTTAAGCAAGAACAGTTAGAAAAACATTAAAGACAAATTGTATCTTATAACTGTGGGTTTTATACCTTTAAATAAAAACTGTGTTTCAAAGTATTGAGCAATTTAAATTCCCAGGATGCACTGAATTCTCTGGCTCAGTGAAAGCTGAAGGACGAGCCTATGATTACTATAGGATTAATTAAGCACAGGTAAAATTTTAATCATGGCTTTAGCTTCTGTGGGAATTAAGAACATATATAAGTCTGTATCTATTTAGCTTAATCAGGAACTATGAATCTTCTACTTCAATTATTTCCATACATTTCCTTTCTGTTTTATAGGTAAGATACTGCTTTTCACATTCTCTTCAGTGTATTGCATTTTTGTCAGGAATCAGTTTTGTCTTCTAGCTTTTCTTCCTGCATGCAAAGCCCAGTTTGAAACAATCTTTCATCACTTGCACCTGCTCCAAATTCTGTATTTTGTCTATATTGTTCTCATTCACTGCCTGCATTCTTATTTGTTATTAGCTCTGAATTGATTCAGTCACTACATCATGTTGAATAATTATTTGGTTTATACTGATTTCTGCTCCCAAACTCATTGACCAGTGGCAACCAGAAAAGCTTTAGATGTCAGGCTCCTCAAATGCTGAAGCTCTTCACTGATAAATTTACATGCTTGAGGAGAACAGATCACATTTATGATGAGGAAAATAATTAAGAGCACCCTTTCTTTTGTCCTTTTGAAGGTGAAAGAGAGGAATTAAATGTGGCATGTTTCAGGGCTTTGTATCCAGTCTAAAGGAAATTCTATGTCCATACATCAGTGTGAGAGACCAATATAATGTTTAGCAATATATTTCTGCCTAATGCTGTCTACAGAGGAGCCTCAGATGTCAACAGAACCTTGAGGTGAGACTGTTAATGTAACAACCTGGAACCTGCAAAGACAATATCTGGAAGCTAAGATCCAAAGGGAACAGCTTCAAGCAAATTTTCTGTCTCAGAAATAGGTGCAGATGAGATTGGTAATTCCTTTGCAAATAAATTAATTTGTTTCAAGAATTTGTACTTTGCTTGCTCTTAAAATTGTGACTCAGAGTATTGAATTGTTGATATCAGCTCTTTCTCTTCCAGATAAAGAAACTGGAGAGTAGCTTGATTTTTTCTGATCTTTTGTTGCAGTCCCACCCAACACAAACTGAGCTGAGCTGAACTGGAACCATATCAGTACAGTGATGCATAAAATAAACTGTAGTAAAAAGAAGAGAATCAAAATGTGAAAGTATATTTTAGAAATACCAGATTAATGGTGAAAAGCTTGATATCTTTTGTACAGATTTAAGTAATGTACTGCTGAGGGACAGCCCTGACTGGTGCTAATGAAAGTCAGAGCTAGAACTGGAGGCAAAAATAACTCAAATTCAAACAAATTGGTGTAGCATTTAACTGAAATAGCAGAGAATTTTAATTTTAAATGAAGGAAAGCCTGAAAATATTCAAATCTTTAAAGCTTAAAGAACCTTTAAAAGCTTTAAACTTTGCTAATAAAGACATACATAAACATTAGAACTTTTGATCAAATTTGAAGATGACATAGGATTTTTTTATGTGAAATGCAAGTTTTTTTGCACAGGGCTAATTTTTCTCTCTGGAGAACAGCATTGCCAATTACTAAAAACCCACAAACTTGTGAGTTTTTTTCTGTTATTGCCAGCACTTGGATGCTGGCAGGCAATGACTGTCCAAGTTCTTCAGGAGTCTCTCCAAATCCATTTTCACTAACATTTGTATTACTCCTATCTCGTTCATGGGAGAGGTTGACACTACGAGGTTGCAATCTCTTCCAACAACTGACATCTTTCTCACAAAATCTTGCCCAAAGTACACTTCAGGGCCTGTGTTGGCACAGAAGTTATGGTGTTGCACCTCAAGAGGAGTGGGTGTCATTTGCCCCTTATATCTGAAAATGTAAAGAGACTGAGGAACTGATTATTGTCAGTCACAAATTAAAACAAAACAAAACAAAACAACAAAAACAACCAGGCTTGAAGAAACAATACTATTTAAAGAAGATGTTTTTTGGCAAATGTAAAGGGAAGGAATTACCAAGTTGAGTATCAGAAGGTTGGAGCAGTAACTCACAGGCTTCCTGAGACAAGGCCCAGCAACACAGATGTGCAATGTCTTTCTGGGAAGCCCTTGACCGAGTGTTTATGTGCAACAATTCTGTTAATGCACAGATAGAGGAAGCATGGCAACCCAGCTTGCTCTAGCAGAAATAAAAGTTAGGGAATTCTTGTCAAAAAGGTTAAGTAAGTATGGAACCAATACTTCTCAGTGTATTTCTAAATGTTAGGAATTAAAACCTTCAGCTGCTTGTATGTTGAGAAGGAAAAGTGTGTCTTTCTAGACATAAATAGAAATAAATATATAAAATATATACATTATATATAATGTATATTTTACATTATATAAAATAATATATATAATTTTATATACATATACATATATAAGAAATATAAAATAAATACATAAATATAATATATAAATATATTTTAAGCAGAATGTCTCAGTACAATGTTGCAGATGAGGAGGGTCTTTTCATTAGGTTGGTGACAATTAAGTACATGATTATATCTCAGTGTTAAGTTGAAATCTCCCTGCTTGAACCCATTTCAGTCCAAGAGGGTATCAAAAATGGGGATGGCTTTGGTGGTAAGTTACATACTGAGATATGAGGTCCAGTCTCTTAAGCAACTTCACAGCAATGGGAGAAAGGAGGTGAATAAAAGAAGCCCTTCTTTCAGCATGACGATGAAAAACCCTCCTGCAGCCTCTCATGCAAGCTGTAACAACGAGAATCAATCAGCAGCACCAATGTGCTTTTATTTCCATCTCCAGTATCCTTGGGCAGCAATAGCCCTTCATTTTTATGTCAGCGAGCAGTGTTCTCTGGGATGCATTTTATATTTCAGTAATGATTTACGTTCAATCTGCTAATAAAGGACAGATGATCAACTCTGTTATGCAAATGGAAGCATGGAGAGAGCAAGGAAGTCCTCAACTTGAAGTGGCAGAAGGAACAAATGCCATTCTGTTTATAGGGCTGCTTTTCTTTATCCCTTGACCTTTCAGTAGCTATTTTGCCTGCACATTCTTCTTCAAGGGGAAGGGTGCAGTCAGATGGAAGGTGATTAATCCTGTCAGAAACCATGTCATGTCACAGCTGAGACTGATATTGAAGGTGTCCAGTAACTAAAAGCCTTGTTACTTTTAGGCTTTTAGTTCATATAAATTCTCAATAGTTTAAGCAAACAGGTTGCAATGCATACATTGTTAAGACAGAGGCTTATTTTAATGACATGCAAGTAAATTGGGTACCTATGCTTAAGGAAAGAAATACAAACAATCTACATGTAATTAACAGGAAATATACTTAATGCAGGTTATAGTCTAGCTATATTTATAAGTCATTGTCATTTTATATTTGTCTTTCTACAGATGTGAATGAAATACTGAACTAAATATTAGTTATACCCTTCAAAAGCAGACAGTGACTATGGACCTCCAGGGCTGAATCCATTCTCTTCAGCACAAGCTGAATAACCAAGCTCCCAGGAACCTGTGAGACAAGAACAGTTGCAAGGTAAGAGGTTTTCCTGACCAGCAGACTCATGTCAATATGATTGTGTCATTCTAGCTGATGTAGCTTGCATTCAAACATTATATGCCATAAAAATGATCATATAATACTTCTGATATTTAAATATTGCAAATAGTAAAATAGTAAAATTTATTTTATTAAATCTTTTGAAGATTTAATACTAGGTGTTAGAGATTCACTTGGGAGGCAAGCCCTGAGCCTTAGGGAAGGCTGTAAGATCTGAGAGCATTGTGACTATTCATATCTTGCATCCACTGAAATAGATCAAGTTTTACCTGCATAAGATTAATGCCTACATTTTTGATTTTCTTTTGTCTTTTTGGCTAGGATGAAGAAAGAATTCTGGGGAAAAGCAAACAAAAACGAACACCCCATGTGTGAATTAACAAATTGATATATCGATATTTGTGTATATATGTATGAGATTATTGCATTGGTAAATTAAATAAAATTAATAATGCCATTGCATTTTCAGAAGGTAGAGAGATAATAATTTTATTTATATCTGTGAGAATAGCATATTCAAAGCCCTTTTCCCAGGACAACAAATAAGGTAGGCTTGCAGCCTCCATTTTGTAATGTAAAAGCTCTGGTTATTCTGGTTCTGAATACAACTTGAGCTTCGAGAAACTTCATACCTGACCTAAAATTCATGGCAAAATGTTTTTGATGTTTGTATCAATGATCTCAATTGTCTTCTGCCAGCTGTAGTCCTACTTCAGTGGATTAATTTCTGAAGTTCAGCCCATGTTGAAGGAAAATGCTTATGTATGGCTTATTATTCTTTCTCTTGCTAACATTTCATTTTTTTCCTAGGTCTACTTACCCAGATCTTTTTGAAGAACATTTTCCTTCTCACTCTGTATTAAGCTTGAAGTTTGTGGTTTCCATTTCACACCTAAAGAGGGATTTGCATGCCTAAAACATTTTTTTTACATCTCATTGCCTTGATTAAAAGACATTACCTCTCCCTGCAGCGCTCGCTTGCCTGCCTCCTGAGAGAAAAAACACAAACTGTAATGACAGCACCCCACAACTGGCTCAACAAGGAAACCACCAGAGAAGAGATTACCCTTACAGTGAGCCAATGTTTTGCCTAGTCTGACATGTCAGATTTTGGCTCTGTGCTTCTAATATAAAGCCCCTCCCAGAAGAACTGAATCAAAATATGTCAGCTTAATCAACATCATGTTTATGCATAAAAAAGACTTATTGACCTTTTGGTAAGTGACCTACTAAGAAAAGCAAGGTCTCAAAGGATTTACCCCTTCATGCTCAGTGTGGGGCAACAAGCCAATACAACATCTGCTCAGTATGCACTGCAAAGCAAATGAACAATGCTGACACCATTAATCAGCTTGTCCAAGTGAATAAAATTTCAAAAGCTAATGTAAGAAAGCTTGGCTTTAAAAGCAAACATTTCATGTGGATCTGCATGGGTTCATCTAATGATGGATTAGTTAACCCTGAGAGATGAAGAATAACTCAAGCCCTTTGTTTGAGGGGGCAGTGCATGAAAATCTGACAACGTACAGAGAAAGATTGTAAAGAAATTAGACCTATGGGAAGTAGTTTTGCAAAAATTGATCACCTGCCATTGGTGCCTCAAACTTCAGTGTGTGATATTCAGCACAATGAATAAAAACCACCTGGTTTTGAGTCCTATCCGCAGGCTGCAAGCTGTGATTAAATGTATGCTTTTTTCATTCACAGAACTGTTAAAATGCAGGTAGCATTTTTTGCTTCCTTTCCCTCCTTTGCTGGGCCACAGAGAGGAACTGTACCTCAAAGAGAAAAATTACCTGGAATTAATTTCAGTGGAATAAACCAAAGCAGTGCAGCAGCAATTTCAATCTGGGGCTAAATAATGAGTGAAAATTGAGGAAAAGTCAGTAAAGGGAGCTGATACTTCCTTATTTAATGAGGAGTAGATAATCTGTCAGGAAAATAGAAGGTACGGAACACAGACACATGGAAGCTACACAGAGAAGCTACAAATGGAAAAAGTCTCTGCTAGCCAGCTTAAAAATGCAAGTCCTATTCGATTGCTTTGTCAAACCTGCTTTAAAAGTCCAAGACTTTTCTGCTTCCAAGATCCCCTTTGGAAGACGTCTCCAGACTGCAGTGTATTTTGGTCTCAGAATATTTTTTGCCAATATCCTTTTTTTTAACCTGAATTTCTTCCCATAATTACTAGCACACTCTTTTGGAATACACTAAAAATTCACTTCCTTCAGTAACCTTCACTGCCTTTTTGTAAATACCTGATTCTCTTATGTCTTCTCAGAATATCATGCCCAAAACTTACTCCATTGGAAATTATCAAGATTGTTTAAGAGGCAGGGCTCTAGCCTCAAAAAATAAAGTGGACATCACTGGAATAGGTAAAAGGTTTTAAAAAAACTTGGGACAAATGTTTTTTCATTGTTCATTAAAGACTATATCTTGAATGCATCAGTCTCTTAATCACTCTAAGCCCATAACAAAAGGAGTGCTGCAGTCAGCAGAGCTCCCCTGTTGGCTGTGAGGGGGCTCCTGTCAGCCAGGACATGGCCCAAATCCTCGGGGGCTCTGCTGACACAGGGAACGTGTTCTGCACGGCTTTTTGCCAGCTGACCACACACATCCTATTCACTTCCATGGCACTGTAGCTCTCTAGGAGCCTTAGGGAATCTGAAAGGATACTGCAGGAGATGTGGAAGGTGGAGTTCCCTGCTGGCAGGCCCTCTGTGAAGTGCCGAACCCGTATGACGCGCCGGTAGAGGCTCCAGAAGGTGTCGAAGGCCGACACGCATCCACGTAAAGAAGTCGTCGTTCAAGGAACCATTGTTCCTCTCGTCTTCCTCGTCTAACAGATACACTGGTTTCTGCCAGGAAGGAGCTCTGGCTGTCCCTGCTCACAAAGAGACAACGCAGGAAAGACACTGTCAGTAAAAGCAGTGGTTGCTGAGATTCTGGGCCTCACACAACCAACAAGAATATGAGCTGTGGAAGAGATGTAAGACACTGTCCAAAATTCTATATATGCCAGATAACAGCATCTCCAAGCATGTCCACTCACCTCAAACATGAAGTAACAGTTTAATAGTACTCAGGGGCTGCTACACATTAGAACCTTCAAACACAGGAAAAACAAAGTGACTTGCAAAGTGAAAATACTGTTTATTCTGCATTCTTGTCTCTTCAGCAAGCAATGTGTTCTCAATAATGAGGAGCTTGCCCTCATTTTTACACATTAATATATTCCTGTACAACCAGAAAGGCACCTTTTTGCAGTCTAATGGTACAGGCTATGACATTTAGAATCTATCCCATGAAAACAACTTAGATCATTAGCTCTTGCATATTGCACCCAGCTCAGCACTGCCCTGATCCACAGTGCGCAGCTTTTAGCCCCAGATCAATAGAGATCAACCAGAACAAGGAAACAGCCCTTGGAAACAAGTCTGAAAGAACTAGTGACAAAGGCAGTCTCTCATGCCTCACAACTGCCCAAGAATCTGCAAAGGCATGAAAGAAAGGTGGGACATGCAATTCTGCTTCACAGATGTTTTCCACAGGAAAAAAAAAAAGAAACTCCTTCCTCGCTTTCTCTGGGCAGATGAAGCACTACAAGAAACTATAAAGGGTATTGATGTGGGCTAACTTCAGTCTTCCAAAACCATTTTCTCTCAATTTTTATGGTCACTGATTAAAAAGTAAAAAGGTGATATTTTAGCTAAATGTGCCTTCTGCTCTCAGTCACCCTCTAAACCCTGCTTCTTCAACTTGTTTTGGGAGATATTTCTCCCAAAGGTGATTTTTCTCAGAATGGGAGACACGTGAAGGGGGAGACAGGGAAGTAATTGAAAAATAAGGACCACCAGCAGAACCATTCTTACCTGTAAATGCAGAATAGAGATCGTATGACTCAGGATTGTGAAATTTCACATTTTTATCTGTCCACCAACTGTTTCCAATCTTCAGCAACGGCACTTGAATCACAGATGAGTTATGATTGTAAAACAGATCAATAGTATCTGCAAGGAATACAAAGCAACATTTGTGAGTCAAAGACAGTTGTTCTAATTGCCAGCATGACTAACAAAAAAAGGCACATTGAAGCATCTTTCAAGTGGATAGAAAACCTGAACATCCTGGATGTGTATGGAGCACTGCACATTTCACAAGAAGAACTAAGGACCAGAATCTTAGAACTTCTGAATTTTTAAAGACTGAACATTTCATACCAATCCCTGGGCATGTTGGGCATGCTTCTCATGTCCATCAACTCCTGTGGGACTACCTTCTTTGCAAAACACTTTCAGAGCTCTCTAGCTAGTTACAGAAATAACTGTCCTAGCTAGTTACCCCTAGAATTTCTTTGACAGTTGTCCCAAAACTTTGCTATACAATATATGTTTTCAGAGACTAGGGTAGAGGTAAAAGCACAGTCAAGGGAATCCAGTCCTTTGGGAAAAAAAAAAAAATACTTTAGTTCTATGCCAGTTAGAGCTTGCTTACCAACTTGGACACAAACACTTTCTTCAATCAAAAAACATTTAGTTAAAATTGTGCCTTACCATGCCTCCCAGTTTCATTGGGTGAACAGCACTTGTTTTTATCCATTACTATTTTCCTACATAGATTAGTTTAACATAAGACAAAAACATGACAGGTCTCATTTAGAGCTCTGTAAACCCCTAGGCAGCCAATGGGATGATGGGCAGGGACAATCAGATGATACAGATGGGCAGGGGTTGCCTTTTAGGAGACATGAAAAGCACAACTCAAGTGCTGAGACACACTCTTCAGGGAAATGATCATTCTGTGGCCCACCACACCCTCAGCTGTTTGTCACCACTTCATTTACAGGAGATGCAATGCTCTGAGCTCTTCCTGCTCAGTTGCTTGTCTTGACTCTCCCTCCCATGCTCCAGAACAGCTGGGCTGCCCACAGCTGGGCTCTGCTGGCCTAGGTCTCAGCCCAGCCCAGTAAATCCCACTTCCAGGGCAGCAGGTGGGTAAGGCAGAAAAAATCAAGTGGATCTAGAAGTTACTCAATGAACTGGCTTCACAAATCCCCTGGTGTGGGTGGCACAGTTGCTTGGAAAGAGCTGCTGCCTTCTCAAAACCTGCTGTATGGAGCAGGTAAAAAAAAAAGGTGAGAGCAGGGAGTGGAAGAAATTGGAAGACAAAAAAAGATGGTGTAATGGAGAAAAGTCTGTACAGTTTTTTAGTTGCTTTTCTTTCCAAAGATACATTCTGAAATCTCCCAAGTGTATTCATAAACCAATTATGATCACTAGTTACTACAAAGATCAAATCCAGGTTTAAATTAAGACTATGTATGCTTCCAGCATTCTAAGAATAAAAATGAAACCATGTAGATCCAAAGATCCAAAGCAACGTGGAGAATGTCGAGAGTCCCTCCTTCTAAGCACATGATTATGGGAAGGCAGAATCTGGGCTCTCCCATCAGTGTACAAAAATGAAACACTGCACAAAAATGTGCTTTTTAACAAGGAAGTACAAGAAATTTGTTGTATCCTCGTTCCTTATTTCAAGAGGGCCTAAATTCCTAACTCCTGCTGCATGCTGACATGGAAGAGAGCCTTAGAAAATGAGAAATCTCCCTCAGTTTCCAAACAAGGGCCAAGTTAGTAAACAGTAGGAAGCAGAGTCTGATGTTCACCAGAGCAACGCCACCAAAGAAAGCCTTTTGTGTGAGAAAGGAGAGACCTTGCAATAGAGGTCTGCCCTGGCCGGGGGTGGGGGCATGGTTTCCAGAGGGAATCAGCAAGGGCAGAGGAAGGTCCCACGCGCCCCTGAAGATGCTGTTGGTGACGGCCCCGCACGGCGCCATCGGGGTCCCGCTCCTGTAGGTGCTGAAGGGCGTGCAGCAGCTCCTCTGGATCTGCATTCAAGGGTACACAGCAGTCAGGCACAGACCCAGGGCTTGGTTTAAATGGTGTCCTCCCATGCCTTCTGAAAAGACACTAACAATTAAGTCTCCAGTACCTTTTAGTCACATTAGAGACATCAAATGAACCTTCCATATCTAGGCACAGAAGGTCTTCACCGAATTCTGCTGCTGACTTGCAAGCTCCAGACTACAAAAAACAGGTTTGGGGATCTGCTGTTGTAAAATGGCTACAACTGAAAATGTTCCAGTGAAGCCTTGGCTTACCCTAGAACATCTTGTTTTACCTTCTTTTTAATTCTGACCTGGACTGAATTAGTGCTGGAGAACAGCAGATGTAGTTGGCCACATTACTGCAGGTCAAAAAGGGCCAATCTTGATGTATGAAGATACAGAATAAAAAACAGAAGTCCACTCTCAGCTTTATCGCATCTTTCCTACCCCATTTTATAAGAAACTATAAATCCTCAGGTTTCAATACAGAAATATTTTCAAGTAACTCCAATGAGCTGTGTATCTGATTGGCATAAAAGCCAAAAGCAGCTGCATCTGGATGCAAACAAACAAGCTGACAGGACACCTGGAGAGTTTTAGGAGGCATTTTATAAAAATGAGGAATATGTCTTGAGAATTTTAAGAAGCATTTTATAGAAACAACAGATTACCACGGCACAACCACCATATATACTGAAAGGACATGTGGACTATGTGTATATTATTAAATACTACTTTTATGCCAAAGAAAATATGCTTTAGGTTTGTAAGTAAAAGAACCTGAATGCCCTGAGAATGCCATGATTGCATTCTCCAGTTTCCTTACGCAGGTCTGCTGCAGGTGATGCTGTCTACTCCCTCTTTAGACTTCTAAATTGCATGCTTAGAACTGCATACATGATCACTTATTTCAGAACTAACCTTATCCTGCTCCTTGCCTGCTTCCATAGCCAGATGGCAAACTAAAGACTTAGAATAACTTAATTCCCTAGCCCTATAATAAGAGCACAGCTTAAAACACTTCTGGCTAATACAAAAAGGAAATGCTTTCTGTACATTTATTTGAAAAAGACAATGTACTTTTAATCAGCATTACAAGGTACTGGTTTGTGAACTGCAACACAGGACTGACATCTTTTATTTACCACCTCCCCCCCCCAACCTTCAACCTTCCTCTCTTATTAACTTATTAGACATTATGGCCCCAACAAGCATAAAAGCCAGGACCTAACACTGAAAATCTGTACTTTATTATTCCTTAGAGCCATCTAAACACACTTATAGCTCTGCCTAGATGGCTCTCCATATGGTCAAAGGCATACCTGCTGGAAATGCTGATTTCACAACAGAAAAAGAAAACTTACATTTACATTTCGGCCCAACAGTTGTGTGTCACTTCTTGGTATCACGTATCGACGGTGGTTCTGATAGAAGTTTTGCAGACCATAGTACATAAAAACATCACCCTAGAAATAAATCCCTTCAATAAAAAGAGTTCATGAAGGCAATGAGAAATCCTATTGCTTGCTACAAAAGAGGTGAAGAGAGTACTCATATCAAAATGTCTGTAACTACACCCTAAGCAATATAGCAGTCACAGGCTAGAATCTTATCTTTACCTGAACTGTAAGTTTCTATGTTTTGGCACAAAATTAAACATAATGTAAATCAAAAAACAAAATCTGAAACAAAAATGCCTGATAATTATTTTACTCGGGATGGCATGCCTAGCCATGAACTTGCAATGACTATGAATCATATCGTAGAGACAAACACTCATTTTCCATAATAGAAGGTGCACAAAAACCTTCACATTAAAAGGAGAATGCTAGGCAGGCCAATCATGCATGAAAGGTAATTATACAACTATAAAAAACCCATTACTCAGTTAAACTAACTTCTCATCTCAAACATCACTGTAATCTGAAGAATTACAAAGTATTTTAACAGCTTCCTCAATACTGAAGAATTCTATCATTTCAAGAGATCATTTATTCAGTACTAAGTATAAGATCTCTTTGGCAGAACATGAAGCCTTTTAACAGTCTCAGCAACACAACATGGCAGTTTAAGAAAGGAAACAAAGGATATTTTTTCCAAAAGAAAATTCAGAATCACATTGCTAGACTTGAATTATTTCAAGGACCTTGGGGATTAGCAGCACAACCCTTGTAAAAATGACTACAGGGGTCCACTTCTGTAAAGTGGTCAGAGCTTCAGATTTCTTTCTCACTTGAGAGCTTAGCTGGGTAGCACCAACCAACCCCAGGCCAAGGGCAAAGCTCTGCCTCTGACTCAGAGAGAGACAGAGAGAGGTCACCTCCACAGTCAAACACCATTTCCTCCACCCCTTCTTCTTTTTGGACATCTCCCAAATAAGAAGCCAGGTCTTGGTTATAAATACCAAAATTAACAACAAAGTCAAACGTCTAACATTTTGAATATTATATGTTCTGGAAAAGTACAAAGCAAATTTAGTCAGGAGCTCTACAGGACAGAATTACTGTCTTTTATCACTTAGGGATATAAGTAACAGGTGGTACACAGTGATCCGAGTTGGTTTTTTGCACCCACTTACCAATATATTTTCCTTTAACGTGAAATTGACAGTATTCCTTATTCCAGTTAGAGAAATTTTCACGGAGCTTTGAAAAATCTGAGCATTTATCTGAATAATCTGTCAGAGAAGTGAACAAGCAAATATATTGTCATAAAGGACATACTCATAGGAAAAGATTAGTGTTTTAGGTCCAAGGCTTCTCAGAGCTGTTCTCTTCTAAGTGACCCTGGACTGCCAAAAAACATTGTTGAAAATGAAGAGTGATGACTTGGCCTCAATGAACAACACAAAATTTATCCCTAGTTTAAATCTGGTTTAAAGTCTTTTGAAGACGGTTGCAGAACTTTCACAACTGCTCCTTGGCAAAGGAGTGCTGAGTGAAGAACACTCTTGCTCATTGGGCTGGCTGACCAAGTAATGCTTAAAAAATCCCCACACGCATCACAGCCCACCGTGCTGAACAGCCTGGGTGTAGTGCTGAGTGCTGGCTCCAAACAGGAGTCTATTCACAACACCACAGCTCTGAATAACCTCCTTTTCTGCAGGAAAAACATTAGGGCTCCCTGTATTTCAAGATTTTGCCCCAACAAACATGTATATTCTTATAGTATTAAACACTCTCTGAGGGATTTGCTTATTTCCCTTCAAAACCCCAGAAGATAATGACAACATTTTGATATTAGCAGCCAGTGGCAGTAATTATCACCCGTATTTCAGATATTCCCACCCAGTTAATCACCCAGTGCTCTGATTTTAGTGATGACTGACTGCCTCTGAAGATTTTCACAAGAATACCAGCTGCTGGACACACGTCCAAGGCATGAAGCCATAGTTATCATCTTTATTCAGAAGCAAAACTCAAAGTCTTTTCCCTCCAAACCTGGCCTGGTTTCTACTTTACAGAATATCAAAGAACACCACTCCCAAACCAACCTGTATTTCTCTGACACTGTTTGCAGACAGGACAAGGCAGACTCCCACAGTAAGGCAGAATGCCCCTGTCAGAAAGAAGCTGGAGAGCACAGATGCAATGGTCAGCTGGGGCTTCCAAGCTGGCAGCCTCTGCTGTTTGAATGCAGTGTTATCTGGACACCTGGAGGGTTGGGCTTCTGCTTCTCTGGGAAGAACACTTGTCTTGTTTTTCATTTTCTTCTCGGTGAGAGAAAGGAGTAATATCTTTGTGCTGGAGAGTGTTTCAGCCAAGATATTGTCTTTATTGTTGGGAGACAGTATTTGTTGTTCAAACTTGCATTATGGTGAGGAATTACTTATTAACTAGATCTCTCTCTTCCTTGTTTTCTGTATTTGTGCCTGGATCTCCATGATCAGCTTGCACCAATCAAGTGATTGTGTACTTTGATCAGGGTATCCAGTTCATTCCTCCTGGAAAAGCTTAGATATATTTTTCCTGCCTCACAGCTCATTAGGATTCATTATGACATACTAATTTGTAGGGATACTGTCACCTATACTGGAATTTCTGTGTAATTCAGATGCATTATTTCTTATCAATTTACTTCCATAGCTCAGCTAACAGGCATGGCATACAAGGAAAGGAGTCCTAATCCAGTTGCACTGGAATCCACTGGGGAGGACTGCAGATGCTGAGACAGCACTGGAGAGAGAACATGGCTTTGGAAGACCAAACCAATTTTCTTAACCTATTACATTCATTAATATAGACTGAGATGCAATTAAAGACTGTAAAAAAAGTTGTGTGTTGTTTATCATAGAAGGACAATTCATTTTTAAAATATCTAATTTGGATCAATCTTTCCAAGATACTGATGACTTCCTCATCTGTATTCATCTTGTTCTCTGAAAAAGAATCCATCCATTCCCTGCTATCCACAATGACAAAAGAATCACCCAGAGATCACCTCATTTTAATTTAAATGGACAAACATAAGAATACTATTTACACACTTCAACAGTTTAACCAAAATAAGATCTCAGTAAAATATGCAGATAATACCATGTAAGAGCAAAAAGCAGCATTTGCCCAGCTCTAGAACAGATAGGTGAAAAATACCTTTTTAACATGTTACTGAAATTCATACTTTTTCAAAGACCCCCAAGGGCAAGTAGATTACCACTCTCATGAGACAAATACATGTCTCATTTAGGATAGCACAAAGAGGGAACAGAAAACTGAGCTGTGCAAAGACTTTCACACCCATATTTGCTCATCTTCAAGGTCTTACCAGTGACACGAAGTAGTACATCTAGCAGGTGAAAGTGGTGTAACTGATTTCAGTATGACATTGTTCCTGCAGTAAAAATAATACTAGAACTACAAACAAAATTTCTGGGTTTTTATTAAAAGAAAACTCAAAAAATGTTGCAATGTGCCTTCTGTATTTAGACCTCTGAAGAGTCAAAATTCAGTTGCAAGCAGGATAATAGCAAAAGGCAGCTGCAAATTACTTCCTTGTTGGTAAACTCACTAAAAGAGTCCCAGCTTCACAGATCCATTTCTGCACAGCTTTATAATACTCTTCTCAAGTAGGTCAATTGTTTCTTTCTTTATCTGAAGAAAACAAAAATCAAAGCATAAGAAGTTACTGATAATTATATATTTATTTATTTACTGAGGAACCTTACTACAGGACTAGAAATTAAAGAAGAGATTGCTATAGAAGGTCCTCTAGTACATTTCCAGTTTTTAAAATACCCATCCTTTGCCCTGCAGCCCTGAAGTCCCATTTCACATGGCTACAGAAAGGTTATCATTGGCAGAGCTGGTAAAGCACACCACAGCAAAAGGCCCATCCTGGGCTGCAGAATCCCTACAGGACTTTCCAGAGTGAGAACTGGCATAAAGCAGATCAAGGGCAGTGCAGCAGGCACAGTTCTGTCTGTGGCTGGGACACCTGAATGAAAGTGAGCAGGAAGATCAGCTCTGCCTGTGCTGTGCACAAAGTACTTTGGTTTATGACTCTGATAGGGCTCTAGCTCAAGGCTTATCTAAAGATAAAACAAATATATTACAGAGTAAATACTGACTACATATTTCAGAGGGAACACAAGATTCTTTATCATCACAGTTAGTCTAGAGTTTCCTTACAGCTCCCTTTTACCACTTACAAATCACTTGTTTGCAGGTTTTCTCTCAGGATTATATTCTTTCGTGCCTCCACTTTGCAGAGGCATAAATTATTCAAGAAAGGCCAGCCAGCCTCAATTTCAGACTGGATGTGCTACACAAAGGTGAACACAGTTGTCTTTCTATCACAAGTCCATTTATCACAAGTATTTTATTTTCATGACATCTGAAACTTAAACTTAGCATATTTTCAAATTTACTGAAGGCTGGTGTGTGTATTGCTTGCAGATATTGGGTTTTGGTGAAAAAAACTTCACTTGAATCTTAGGAACAAGTAACTTAAGAAGTTGAGACAGCTCTGTATTGCCACCAACCTCTGTAGAAAAAACTTTCAAAGCAGGAAGCTTGTCCTTTGGTCAGACCAAAAACTATACAATCCATTTTTATTTACACCTTTATGATTTACTTCAATTCCAGTTTGCCAAGACAAAGTCTGATTCACTCCTCCTCTGGTTTCTTTGGGAGCTTTCTATCCATTTTTTGGGATGAATGAAGTGGGAGACACAGAAATAGAGAATGAAAATTCCAGCAGCATTAACTAATGAGATGCTGAGGGAACTGACAGAGCAGTGGATTAGGGCACCATCCCTTGTGTGGATATGATGGCATACAGAACTACCATGTGTTTTTCAATTCATTAATATAATATAATATAATATAATATAATATAATATAATATAATATAATATAATATAATATAATATAATATAATATAATAATATGTGTAGAATTCTCCACTGAACATCAGGTGACTACAAAACCAGCAAATATTTTGGACATGTGCTTCCAAATGTTCTTGCTTTCTGGTTTAAACACAATGAAATTTAGCAATGTTGCACCTTAAATATGTAAAAAAAAGTATTGATAATTGAAGTTTGCACTGAAAATAGGCCAGTATGCTGAGTTTCTCATTTTAAGTGTACAATTTTCCCTCCATAACTAACACAGGTGAAAGAAATTAGTACATCATACAGCCAAGTCTCTAAACTGTCTTTGGTACTGCATTTCCTCTCTCTGAGAAAACTTAAACTATTCATAGCATGTATTTGACATTTTTCTATATAATTAGAAAAGCTGACTAGGACTGTATTCCATATTTGAAGCCCACAAGTTACTAGAACATCCCATTGGTTTATAAGTGATGTTAAGATGCCTTATCACCAGAACATTATTTAGATGTCTTTTCCTGTGGACATCTCTTACACATAACTTCAAGGAATCTGCCTGATGTCTGCAGTGGGATAAATACCTGCAAAATACTCCACCTTAAAGACCAAGATGTCAAAAACCTTCCTTTATGATGTATTACCTGAATCAAGAGCAGTTTGAAGACTTTTCTGTAATTACATATTCACTATTCTGTAATCACTATTGCGTATCCTAAGACAATATATGATGGTCCAATGCTCTTAGCTGGATTTAACTTGAACTAAGCTTTAACTTTTTATGCTAAAATAGCCTTAGGATTTTGCCTTAATAAAATAGACTTGGACTCACAACTTTTGGCCTGTATTTCTCGACAGACACACAGAACTGCCATGATGCTACCTACAATGAGCTGAAAGGTGTACTTGAGGTTCACAATAGCCCAAAATGAAATACTGGCAACGTAATCTTCATTTTTTGGAGGTGGAGCACCTGCAGTCTACTTTATTGATACTGACTTCAGATGACTTAAAAAAATCTATGCCACTGCCATCAACACCTTTTGTACTGCCTGTGATTTTGTACTTGACTGTCTGTGATCTCGTGTTTCCTGTTTTTTAAAACCATACTAAAAAAGCCTTATGCATTAACCACAAGATGGAGCCTCTTTGCCACCAAAAAAGCAAAGGCAGGTGTTTTTTTTGGTTTTTATTTTTGCTACTTCATTTCTTCAATGTATTTTTTGTTAGTTTGTTTTGTGTATGTGGGGCTGTAAAATGCAGCACATTCAAATACTTAGACAAGTACACAGATGGATTAATGACATATAATTTGTTTCACTTGTGAAACAGCTTGTCTATATGCAAAATAAAGCCTTTTCCCTGGAGATTCCTTCCATGTATGGGCCTACTATAAATGCAAAAAACCTCAAGACACTGTGCAGGAAATTGGGAGCTTTCTAAGAAGCACTAATGGAGGAAACGACCTCTTTATCTGGCTAGAAATAGGTGATGCCTCACAACATACTGTAAGCACAGCTTGTTACAGCAAGAAATAGAAAAGCTGGATTATAGAACTGGAAAGAATTGGGAATTAGTTTAGAGGAAGTGTAGAAATAATGGATGGGTCTAAGTTATTTGTACCCTACGTCTTGTCAAAAGAAACAGAAAAAAATACAAGAAAGAAAAGGAAAAAAACAAGAGAATTGTCTGTAGAGTTACTCATATGATGTTATCGTGCTCTTAGGTGGAGAAACATGTATGTTTGGTCATAGTTTCGTTTCGTTTTTGAGGAAAGTTTTCACTGAATCACAGAATATGCTGAGTTGGAAGGGACCCACAGGGATCAAGTCCAAATCCTGGCCCTGCACAGGATACTCCAAGAGTCACACCCTGTGCCTGAGAGCATTGTTCAAACACTTCCTGAACTCTGCCAGGCTTGGTGCTGGGTGAACAATTCCCTGGGGAGCCTGTTCCAGGGCCCAAACACCCTCTGGGGAAGAATCTTTTCCTGATATCCAACCTAAACCTCCCCTGACACAACTTCAGGCCATTCCTTGGGTCCCGTCACTGTCACCAGAGCAGAGATCAGTCCTGCCCCTCCTGTCCCCCTCACAAGGAAGCTGCAATGGGGTCTGTCCTCAGTCTCCTCCAGACTGAGCAGCCCAACAGCCGCTCCTCACACGGCTCCCCTCAAGGCCCTTCTCCATCCTCACTGCCCTACTTGGGCTTTACACCCTTCTTCTGCTGTCACCAGGACTATACACAACACTGCAGGTGAGGTGGCCCCAGCTCAGAGCAGAGGGACAATCCCCTCCCCTGCCTGGCTGTGATGCTGGGCTGATGCCCCAGGACAGGGTTGGCCCTCCTGGCTCCAGGGCACTGCTGGCTCAGCTTCAACTTTCCATCGACCAGGACCCCCAGGTCCCTTTCCATGGTGCTGCTTTCCAGCATCTCATTCCCAGTCTGTCTGTACATTCGGGATTGCCCCATGCCAGGTGCAGAATCCTGCACTTCCCTTTGCTCAAATTCACACAGTTGGTGATGCCCATCTCTCTCATTTGTCAAGGTCTAGGACTCTGTACAAGTCCTGCTGAGGCAACTTCTGAGGGGCAGGTAGAATATCCATCCAGCATTAACAGGGAAAACTCACAGCGCTACTATAGAAGTCACAGCTGTGACTTGCAACAATAAAGGAAAAATTATTTTTCAGAAGATAATTTTGAGACCCAAGAGCACAGACTTCTCAGTCAATGTGAACTTCTTTGTGTTCCTTTACCACTGAAGACAGCTTTACAGAAACAAAACTTTACTTGCAAGACCTGAGAACTGCCAACAAAAGTACTTTTAAGACACAGAATAGAACATATACAGGTGCTTATACAATACCTCAGGGATGTCCATCATTCTCCTTAGTTTCTGGTCTCTCCAGTTCCAATCCAAAATCATATATTTTGTGGCGTTTAAGCACAGGGCATCTAAAAAGGCAACATAAATTTCACTACCAAGATAATGTGGCACGTGCTTATCAAAATGATTTTGGCTTTTACATCTTTTGTTGTCTGTTTGCAAAAACTAATCTTTGAACACTTAAGTACTACATTTGCTGGTTGGACAACTAATGCATTGACACTACAAACTCCCTTAGCCACATAATCTCATGTCCTTTTGGAAGATAAACACAAAAGCAGAGCAACTCCTGTTGCCAGACTTGTCAAGAGTTTAACATCCTGCCAGAAAGTAATTCCTCAAGCTTCCTCCTGATGAAACCACAGGAGTTGAATTTCCACAGCTGATGTCACTGGTAAGTTACAAGGACCCTAACCTGAAAATTCATGTTAACAGGAACAGTGTTCAGCAATTTAAAGGACAGGGTGCTATGTGAACATGAGTCAGGTCAGTGGTGCTGCTGAAGAATTGCTTTATCCTTCAATATATGGTGGTTAAAAAAAAAGGTCCTTTCTGAACTTGCTTTTCAGCCATTTTCCTGTTTTTTTTTAACTAGTCTTCTACACGATGCTCATCATTTTTTCCCCATCAGATTTGATTCCTCTCCCTTCTCTAAGTGACCTTGCACTGCAACACTAAACTGTCAAAAAAGAACTAGAGCTTGGGATAAAATTTAACACTTCCAGGGGTGGGGCATCCACAGCTTCTCGGGGCAACCTGTTCCAGTGCCTCACTACTCTCATGGCAACGTGCTGATGTGCTGGGCACTAACATTTAATGTTGGTGGAAGCAACAAAAATGATGTTACTCCTGCACTCTTTTGGAAGGAGCAGTAGAGTCCCAAACCACTGCCAGTTCCTGACCAAGCGACCACAGTCAGGGCAAGACAGTGTCTTGCATAAGAGGAATAGAAAGATTTGCCTCATCATCTTGTCATTTTGTTGTTTCTTTTTCTTTGTGTACATACTGCATATTGAGTAAGTGAAAATACTCAACAATTGGGAAAAGATTTATAGAGAATAATCAATTTTACTACAGGCAAATGAGAAATACAATCAAATCAGCAAGCAGATCTTTCATACACCCCTCATAAAAGTTTGCAGTAAGCTCACAGTAGCATATGATACAGTGACTTCTGCCACTATTTCCTTTCGATCCACTTGTGGTGTTTGGTTTCCTGGAGCTTTAAATCTCACATTATGGTTTTGCAATCACTTTCAAGTCAGCATAAATCAGTATTCCTGCCAAAAGAGGAAGTCCCCCACCTCTGTCTCATTACCTGATTTTGTGTGCACACTGGTTTTGGTTTAATTGGGGTCATTTCACTGAGCTGCCAAACAGACTCTTGGGCTTGCACAGGGAGCAGGAAGAGGGATTAAACACTGACTGGCAGGTAAGAGGAAGCATTACTCTGCCTTTCTCTGCTAATACTGGCTTATGCCAGCCTCAAGTGACCATAAAACAAAGTACCAGAACCTTGACCTTGTTTTGACTGACATAGCGTAAGTGAAGAAATAGAACCATACAGTTTAGTACTCAAATCTACACATTCGTGTCAACCTAAAAAAAAACAGTTGAAGTTTCACTTCTCATGAGACCAAATATAAAATACCTAAGGAGGAAACGCTCCTTGTTCTCCTACCTTGCTCCACTAGTGCCTTTACTCTCCCAGGAGTTCCAACCCCAATGTGGAACATGCCTTTCTCTAACATATTCATTTGTTCCTTTATCTAATTTGAAGAGAGAAAGAAAAATCAACAGTTAAGCCATAATTGTTTTAAAAATTTCTTCTCAAGGAGTTGAAAATAAATGCAAGATCTCATTTTATTTCTTTCTAGAACAGCAGCATTAAGTAACAAATGATTTTGCCTTTCAAACTGTCAGACGATTATATCTGGAAGAAAGTTTAGGAAATATAACAAGCCAGCTGGGCATCACACTTCTTTAGAAGTTCAATCTTTTTTAACTTTAAAAATCTGCTATTGCACCAAGTATTTTTGGAGGTGAGAATAGCAAGATTCCTTCAGCATTTAAACAAATGCTCTGGAATCCTGAAAAACTTGAATTAACTCTGAAGTCCTTCAAGATGAAGATACTGGAAAAAAGGTGAGATAAAGCAAATCACATTTGCATGTCTGACAGCATTTATATCAAATGCCAAGTGTCCACTCATTATTCCCAACACCTCCATAATTTGTTCTTTTTAACAGGTATGGATACTGGGGACCCAGGCATTCCATTTTCAGAATCCAAGTGTGGGTGCTGGTAGAGTTTGGTTCCACACACTGCGAGTCTGAGTGTCCTGGCACTGAACGAGCACGTGATGGGAATGTGGAAGAGTGAAACTCAGCAGGTGCACAAGCATCTACATTCTGCACAGGGCTGCACCAGAGCTCCTGGAGATGGTGCTTACTGAAATCCTTCACACTGCAGCAATGGCTTACCAAAGCAAGCACTACCCAAAGGAAAGAATTTCATATGAACACTGTATGAAAGGCCCTATTGCCAAAGGATTTAAAAAGAAAATTGTATCACACTACTTAGCTGTTTACTTGCTCTATTAACATTCCCTACCTTTATGTGCTTTGCAAACAACTTGATGACTCTGCAATCTCCTTTAAAGGCTGTCATTGACCTAATAATAATAATAATAAAAAAAAAATGAACAATGAAATACAAGAAGCAGGGCTGGGCTTAAGACCACACATGAGGAAAGGAAAACCAACTGGCATTTCTCAGTATGTTTGAGACACACAGTCCCCCAGTGAACTCTGGTTGTACTCTGAACATTGTGTACATTCTTGTTTGCTACTCAACAACAGAGACCAACAACTGGACAGACACAGTAGAAGATACCAGTAGGGGGCAGTATTGTTTAGATAGCTTTTCAGATAATATTTAATATTACGGCCTGTGCTTTCACAGCTAGCTTAGTTCAAAACTGGTTAATCACCAAATCCTAATTAAAAAATAATTCAGTTACTGAGATAACTAAAGCATTAATGAATATGAGTGTGTGTGCACTAAAGGAAGGATCTGTGTATGGACAAATACACATTTCACAGTCTTTCTGCAGCATGGCTGCTGGGAAAACCTAGGCTGCCACTGTCTCTACTGCAGACATAATCCAAATTCCAATTAAACAGATTAATTTGTTAGAAACCTTAACTTGTTTTTCTGACATTCCTTTTTGGCACACAGTAACAACTCTGCGTTCCATATTCATCAAACGGGAGACAACATATTCAGTATTTGTTGAACATAATTTAAAACTGCTTCTTGCAGGGCAGCAAATTTTTAATTTGCAAAGCTAAAGGTTTATCTACATCTAAACCATCTAAGTCTAAGATGCTAGTCTCTGCATGCATGACTGGCACTTATCTGCTTTATCTATGCTTATATCTGTATCATGGAATCAAACTTCCCAAATCTCCATCTCATTTTGTACTGACACATAATCACAGGAAGTAGGGTCAATACATAGAAGACAACCATGAAATTTGTGAGGTATCCATCAATGCATCAGAGTCATCAAAACTTCTGGCATAAGAAGTGGGAGAATAGAGAAGGGGAAAATACAGGGACAGGGCACACTGAAAATTGTCATCTCTGCCCAGCAGTTTTGCCAGCCTGAGCCAGCTGAGAACACTGACACAGACCTGGAGGCACTCAGGCCAGACACACCTTGGCATCTGAGGCCCTGAAATGCCATGTCCTCGCTGCCTTTGGTGCAAAGCCATGACTTCTCATGGTGGATCATGATGCTTTATTGGCTTACTCTGTTCCCAAGTATAACATGTTTCCCCCACATTGGTTACTTTTGGTTTTTGACAAAAGTAACCCTTCCCAGGCAACTGAAGTACTGAGCATTACTTCAGTCCAAAACCGAACACCACGTTCCCAGAGTTTAAAGAAAGAAGGGATATTGCATCAGTTTGAGTCAGAGAATTTGCTGGCTAGCAGAGGACAGTGTCCCAGTTTTGCCTTTTTGCCTGTGGTTCCAAGACAAAACTCCTGACCGACTGCCAACCTCAACAGAGTCTTTGCTGTTGACATACTTGATGAGTTCCAAGGAGCGCAGGGCAGAGCTGCACAGAACCAGCATCAGCACCGACTTCTCCTCCTTGTGGTTCCTGCGGAGCTTCGCCCACTTTGGGCAGACTGCAATGGAAAAGCCCTTGTACCCACACCAAGCACCACAAGCCAAATTTTAAATTACTAGAGTACATGATGAATGGTAGCCAGCAGCAAGAACACACATGCTGACTCCTTTGAGGTCTGGAACTTTGACATCACTTTTGCATTTAGTCATGGCTGAGAAACTGGAAAATGGAATGCCCAAAATAAATAAAATATAGAAATATTACAAAACTGAATAAACTAGATAAGCATTAACAATTAACAGTTTTTAAGGTGATGAGCCTATTGTCTTCACTTGCCACATATGGCAATTTGTATCAGAGAAAATCATCTGCAAAGAAACATTTACCAGACCAGAACTTCCATATAAATATACAAGAGAATAAAAATTCACTTGGTTCATGTCAGCAGACAGCTGCAGGACTTTAATTCTAAGATAAGAAATACACCTACTCATGAAGCCACAATAAATTACTGAAAAATAATCCCTAGGAATTATAAGAAAGCCTAGAACATTTTTGATACCAAAAAAATAAAAGCTCTAAACTAAATAAGAGCCAGAAAAACAAGACCGGTCATTAAAAAAAAATTTAAAACCTTAAAGTGATGAATATTTCATAATAAACAATACTTGGAGCTACATATAAAAAATGCAGTAATACTGTATTAATAATATTTTTCATACAACTTTCGTCTCACCCAGACCAACATTTAAACTCACTTTCCTTCAGGTATGAAGAAAAACTGTGGGTAAGATCATTGGCTGGCAGAAAGCAGGAATCTGAAAACAAAGGAAAAAATATTTTTGTTGATGTATTTTAACAGCAAAGGGAAAACAAATGTTTGCAGCATAATCACTAGTTATGTTGATGAAATCCCAACTTCATAAATCCAACTTCATCAATAAATTACCATTTCTGAAACAAAAATTAACCTAGAAGAAACTTTGTATGGGTTAAATCAAGGAAGGTAACATCTCTGAATTTCAATTTCTTTTTTTTCTCCAGCCTGAAACCTTGAATCCTGGGCTGCTGTACAGGTGTGATCACATGCTTTAAATAAAGTTTTCATATGTCTTTGCCACAATGAATCAAAGCCTCAGCCAAAAGCCTTACACTCCTAGATTATTCCTCCAATGTACCATGTACCTATGATGAAATATGTTTGTACATCCCCCAAATAATTCATACTGTGTAAATGCAAGAATCTACCAATAATTTACTAGTCAGTGAGTTTGTTCACCTTCTGGTCTTTCATATCGTGGTAATCTACTTAAATATATCAATCCTAACAGAAATACCTCCACTGCATTTTCAGTGCCTTTCTCTTCCTCCATTTCCTGCTGACTTCCTTTTCTCTGGTCACTATGTTAACTGGGAAGTTTTTCAACAGCACTCTGTGGCAGACATACCATTTAACTTCTTATAATGGCAGTGAAGATCCCAACAGGTTCTTTGGAAGGTCCTTTCTCACGCCTATCAGCAAAACAAAGTTCTTAAAAAGATGATTAAAATTCCATGGTCTGAAAACTTGCCACTGTGTTAAGGGCTGTTTGCCTGACAGAACAATATGGTTCTGCAGAGCATTAACAATTCTTCTGTCTTTAAAGACTTACATATTTGTCACCATCTATCATGAAGCACAGCCCCTCAGGGTGTCCATGGATGTTTGCTGATCCATTTTCTGAACTAAGCAGGTTTGTTCGAAGACATTATTCATGTTCACATGGATGGTACACTGTGCTAATGCTGAGAGCACCAATCCAAGATCTTCATCAGAACAGACAGTGTGACAAACTTGGTTTGTAGCCAATGCCTGGCTGAAATCCTGTCTTGCTGAAAACTTTTATTTGCACAGATTCCTATTAAATTCCAAGACTGACATTGAGCTTCAAAGGAAATGAGTATGTTCAACTGAAGGATCAGCAGCTGATCTGCTTTTAAAATCATGTTTAAAAGATGCACTTGATGCTGGTGGGGACAGGCAGGGGCTGATTGTCTGAATACATGATCTCACTAATGACTGACAGTTCAGGAGGTCCTTTCTGAAGGACACAGCTTCAGCCACTGACTCCTCACCAACAGTCCAGCAACACTGCAGTATTTACAACAGTTTTAAATAGAAATTTCAGAGAGGGGGGAAGAAACACACAGCTCCAGACTGCAGCAAGAGACCATGCTGACAGCTGGACAAGTTCTTAAACTCCTTGGCAATCTTAAGCCTTCAACTCCCAGCACAAAAAAAATAAGAAAAAATTATCTCCATCCAACACATATAGAAATGGGTCACCTCAGCAGCCCAAAGGGCTCTCTTAATAACCTTGTATACTAAAAAATACTTAACACAAGCTTTTCAAAGAAATCTATATGGGACTTCTCCAGGTTTTCTTGATCCAGTAACAAAACTGAGCCTGCCCCACAGAAATGAAGAAGGATCCACCTAGAATCATGGGGATTAAGGAAGAGCACATTTACCTAGAGAGACAAGACTTATGCATTAATAAAGAAAAAGCACTGCTGGACTAGAAGGCCTCTGCTCTGGGTATAGGTCACTGACAGTTCAAGAAGTCCCAAAGGTGAGTGCAGGTTGGTACCAGGCTGCTGCTCTTCATGAGCCCTACCAACAAATAACGGACAGTGTCTCTGTCTGCACAGGAGAGGCAGAGAAGTTCAACGTTGCCATCATCTCCAGTGCAACCTCCAAGTGGAAGAAGCTAAGTCTGCTCTGTCCTGTTTTTTGCCTTTTCTATTTGGCTTTTAACTGGAGGCAGGATACAGGGAACAAAAAGGGTCCCCATGGCTAAAACTTGGTCACTTCACACATGGACCAAAATTATCACCTCAATTCATGCCACTCCCTGAAAAACCACTGCATTCAAAATCTCATACCCATATGATAATGATGCCTCCTTATTTCTTTGTCTATTTCTGTCACCCCCTTATTGACTCAGATAATCCCAGGAACAAAATACATCTCTCATAGCATCTGGGGAACTACTATTAGGAATCATAAAATTATTATTAGAAAAGTGAACTCCAGAAATTAATACTTTATAACAAAAAGAGATATTTAAACAATGTTTCATTTCCATTCCTCTAAGACACCTCACATTCATTCCAAAGAAACTAAACATTTCAACAGCAAATTAATATATAGTAAAAAAGAAATATAAGAAAATATTTTCATTAAAAAGTACAACTCAATTATGTCCCAAAAATCTTCTTTCCTCTGCAGAAAAAGAAGTCAATAGTACCATGAAAAAAAACATTATTTATATATTAAATACAGGAGAAGTTACCTGACAGCTTTAATTCCTCTATTTCAATCACAGAACGGTTTTCACCAAAATGTTGAGTAAGCAGATTTTGTAGATCTGCAGGGATACCAGGTTTTGGAGCAGATTTTTGCAGAACATCAGAAATCTTCTTCTAAAAAATCCAAATAAAATTGATTAATATAGTACTTCTACATAGCTCATTGGCTAGCTAACACTGTACATAAATGTTCCTCCATATCGTTATACAGTTATATCAGTTTAATTATGGCTTAATTGGGAAAACACCTTACAATGGGACAAGATTCCCTTTGTCTTTAGAGAAAATGCAGACTTCAGATGCAAGCTGAGATACTTGGACAAGATGGTTTGAGAGCTTGAACGTGAAAAATCTTGTGCACTCACCTGAACAGCTGCTGTAACAAAAACATAACTGAACATAACTGAAAGTTTTTTGAGTTTTGCTATTGCTACACTTTAGTATCAGTTTGAAATTTTTTTTTCATAACTTTGTTTCAGCTTATTATTCTTAAGGCATAACAACAGGAACCAAGTGATAATATGTGATGTAGTTATATTTTGATTTAAACAGGGTAACTATTTATCTATATTTGGAAGGGAAGATGGTTAGCTATATTCACAGAATACCAGGGTCATGAAAATAAGTTAAAACAACAGAACCACAGGTCAAGCAGCAAGAATTCACAGCTGTTTTGTTCTCCCACACTGTAATTTTTTTTTTAACTACTAATTTTTAGAGACTGAACACGAGTTCATGATTGTGTTCTACACCTTAGGAATGTTACTGAGTAACAGGTCCGTATTCTTACTGAAGTGATTACTGTATTTTTTGCCATAATTAAATGGAACATATGGGTAGCACAGCCCAAGGTTCCCATTGACTGATCTGCCAGCACTTAAGAAAAGAAATGTTAAGTATTTAAGAAAACAGCAAATTTGCAAGGATAGAGGCAGTATGGAGAGAATGACAAGAATGTCATGCCTCTCTAGCTCTCGCTGAGATTTGTCTAGATTTTGAAAGGATAGCTCAAGGTTTCTCAGCTGTGTAAGCTAAACTGAACTCATCATCAAGGGGACACATGGTAGCATAAATCTAGAAGAGAAAAAGAGCAGAAGGGTGTGGTCAGGATGGAGCAAAAGGGTCGGTATTTTTGAGGGAAAGTGGGATTTCACAGAGATTAGGTGGCTCTGGAAGAGTTTTTGGCAGCTTTGGAGGGACAGTGGGTACCTTCAGCTTGGTAGGCTGAGGTTCAGGACAGCAAAGATCAATGGAAATTTTGAAGAGACGTATGGCAGGGATTTTATGTCGGGAACTGACCTTCTTCCATCCATTCTTTCCCTCACTCCATCCCAGCACCCACTCCCTCCTCTCTTCCATTCCCCATCACCCTGTCTGTTCTTCTTGCCCAATACAGCCCAAATACTCCAACATCAATCACTCCAATAATGAGGGGCAGAATGCTAAACAGGGAAGAGCCATCTGGGAACTGCCAGAACAGCAAAGGCAAGGCAAGTGCTGCCTCTCCCAGCCATTGCCACTTTGGCACTGCCTGTTTCACCCCTGCTAAAAGCCACCTGTGGGTTTGCAAGACCCCAGCTGAACCTTTGACAGTGGGAGACACAGAGATGAAGTGTTTTTGCCTTCTTCTCCGCCTACCTTTGGCCTGGTGCAAAGGCCTCTGCAGTCCTTGGAAGACTTTGCAGAGGATGTCTGGCTATTGTGCAGCTTTCTGCAGTGCTTCAGTCTGCAGCATTCCTTCCCAACATTCCCCTTCACTTAGCACTGTTGTATTCTCCTGCCGTGGAACAAGTGTCTTCTCAAAGCATGACCAAAGGCTGCGGGAGCACAGCCAGCCTCTCTGTGAAACCCACAACCAAACCTCTCCATTGTTCTTCCCAACAGCCCCAGATGCTTTTCCCCAGCCCTGCCTCACAAGCTGCCTCTGACATGACCCACATTTGGGAACCTCTGATTTAGCAGACAGTAAGACAGATCAATCAGGCTCATTTTACTTGGTAATTCAGTGTAATTCATTCACAGGACTGTTACGCCATTGTGCCACTTGGTTCCTTCAGAAAAATTATTGCTCTCTGGAGGGGAGAACCCTGATACAATGGGAAATTCTTTAAGAGCAAGAGCAAGGACACCTGAGCAAACTCTCTTCCTTCAAGGAGTGCTGTGGGGAAATGTTCCTCATGCAGGAAGTTTTATTTTTCTTCAAATCCATTCCAGATGCTTAAAAACAAAAGGCCTTCCCCCCTTTTCCTTACTTTTGGAGACAGCACTTTGTTTGGAAGCCACAGATCAACATAATAAATGTTTCCTAATGGGATTTTTCAACAGGTTGTGTATGTCAGCTTAGTGGCCCACTGTAAGTAAAGGTGTGAGCAAGCAGCTGCCGTTTGCCTGAGAACTGGGGTTTCTTGCTAGGTGGGTTTGCCAGCCTGTGCCATGGCATGCCTTCACTCCGGCTCCAGTGGAGTGAGTCCTGCACTGACTGCCAGAGCCACGTTGAAAGCAAAATCCCACTCTTCCCATTCCCTGGATGATTAACATAACATAAAAAGGCCACCCCTCAGCCTTGTGAGGAAGCCAACTATTTACAGTCTGTCCCCCTACAGAAAGACAATTAACTTGCCTGGTGCCAGATAATCTCCATTTAGACTGCAGGGTGTGTTTGTTGTGGGTGAGGATGGAGCACGGCCAGAGGGACAATACAGAGCATTTATTTATATACTTATGCTATGAGGAGAAGAAGAGTGAACAAGGACAGATGCAACAGCAGCTGGAGCCTGACCACACTGTGGGAATGGGTCAGATTCTGCAGCAACTGAAGTTCCACCTTTCTTCCACACAGTCACCCTTTCCTTTTCCTGGTGGGCAACACGTGCAAGTGGGGTGTAGACATACATAACCCTTGAGTGGAACACAGACATAATGCCACAGGTCAGGCTGGGAATAGGTATCTCGAGTAAGGTTTAAAAATTAACTATTTCTCTTCTTCTCTAAAAGAGGCTGCAATATTATGACCATATTACATCTCATCATCACGACGTTGTCCCCATTCTGTAGTAGCCTATAAATGCACTGCCCAGACCTCAAACACACTTAGGACACTCATACCTTCTTCCTCCTCTTTGCCTTTACAGTGCTCTCTTGCTTTTCTTCAGGCTGACTTAAAAAACACTCTGTAGGCTGCAAAACACATTAGAAAAAAAGAGGTAAGAAAAAAAGCCACCAAAGTAAGGCAAAGGAGGTAAGAGGAGATGCAGATGGAATCAAATCCTTACAGTTATATGTATATAAAGTAATTTTGGAATTGAGATTGCTGTTGCAACCAAGAGAGGGAATCAAAGAAAAGAAAACTGAAGCATTCAGGGTGTAGTCATAGTTCCATAAAATGGTGAAAAGCAGGTTTTGATACATTAAAAAAAATCAGGAGGAAAATATGAACAAAATATACCAGTAAATTTATATATTTAATCTCTAATATTGTAAATCATGATTTTTCCAAACTTTGCCAGTAGCACTCTAAAATAACTGGGTCTAAAGTGAGCATCCAGACAGTAAAAATAACATGGAACTGGGCAAGATTAATTAGAAACAATCATGTTCTGAAGTTCCTTCTACACTTTTAATGCAGAATGTAGGAAAACATGTTTCAAATTTGTCCTACCCCATTCTTGCTTTGACTTCTCATAGCAGGCAGGATCAAATACATACAAGAAAAATACATGGTGCATTTCAGAATAATTCAACATGTGCTGCTATCATTAACCCTCTTTTGTGCCTGAGTGAACAGGCTGATTTGGTCCATTTGTACCAGAGTCCCTGTTCACATAATCCAGGGCTAAGATTTGACTGTAGCCACCTAAAATTGTCCAGAACAGAGGAAGCAAAGTGCAGATTTCTCTTGTCTTGAGTGTAGCAATTCCCTTCTCTTTTGCCTTCTTCGGACCTTCTACCTAATGGAAGTGCACATTTATCTACACAGACAGGCTTTGGAACTTAGTAAGTGACTTGATGAAGAGCAATGGGAAAACAGGCTGAGCTGCAGGAAAATGCTCCACGCCACTATGATGCATTTGGCTGCAAAACTCTGCTCTTGTGAGAAAATGTGGAGAAGACTCATCACATGGAACATTAAAAAGCCCAGGAACAGCAGATCCAGCACCCTTCCCTGGAGAAAGCCTGAAAGAAAAGTATCAGCAGGAAAGGGAGCCTAGCTGAAAGCCAGAGAAGCTGCTCTGCTGTTTCCTTGGGCAGGCAGCTTCAGTCAGGCCAAGAGGGACAAAGGAAAGCTAACAGGAGTTCAGTGTCTGGGCCTTCCTGAGCCCTCCTTGCACTGCTCCACCTTAACAGGAGGACACTTCATGGCAACTGGCGCTAAATGACCCAACCCAGCACACTCCTGCCTTTCCAAGCCCACTCTCACAGCCTTATCAGAAGCATTTCTTGAGGTTTAATTGTTCATATTATGCCTACATTTCTCTTTTCCTCCCCACTCCCCTTGCTAAATTAGCTATTAAAACAGGTAAGCACCATGCTCAACACAAATAAATAGCCTCTTACTTTCTGTGCCGTGATGCAGCCCCAGCCACTGTCCTCACAAAGCAGTAGTATTGTAACAGCAGTGGCTCTGAAACCGGTTGAGGATTGAAATGAAACACAGGAATTACCAGAGAAGGTTGGGCTAGGGACTTGCTACAGCTAGCAAAGCACTCTACAGCTACTGGAATGTAATGCAGCCTGCATCAAAACCTTTAAAAAGTTGTGGTAGGGATTATATCGTACCTCAACAACAGAAATCTGTCCCTGTGATTTTCTCAGGTATAAACAGAGATTATCTTCACTAGAAATGAAGGGAATGACTGCAAGTGGAAACTCATTTCAATTAACAAAATTGTTCCAGAGTTAATACAAGTTTGTTTGCTTTATTTTTGGTTTGTTGCTATTTTAAAAATATCTGTCCTGAATCTGATTCAAGTGTTTTTAAAACACTACCCTACATTTCTTCATTGCTATCCCTACCATTAGCATTCCCAGACATTGAGACTGAAACAGAGCTACCCTCTGCTCTACTCTTACACATCCCAGCTGTCCATAGATACTTAAAGGCCATTAGCCAGGTGTTTTAATAATAAATTTTATGTTCAGCATCATATTTTATGCAGAGAACAAACCTTTGCATTGCTTCAGTCAAGGGCTACCTACAAGCAAGCAAAAAGTTAGAGAAGGGCCAATCTGAAACTGTCCTCCAGTAGAGTATGATGGTTCCCAATCCCAGTGGTGCTTCCAGCATACTGAAAAATGTCACTCATTCACTTTGGGCCCACTTCTCCCTTCTTATACATAATGAACTGCTTTACATAACTCCGCAAACACTCCCAGCTGCTATCTGTATGAGAAAAGAATGAAATGTCACACAGCTGAAAAAATTTCTCTGAAAGAAAAAACTTCTCACTGCTAAGCCTTCATTCAAGTATTCAAAAGCAACACCAAATGCCATGGCTTCTTTTTTGAAGGCAGTATGTATCCCTTTTTTTCAACAGCCACAGGAACATACAGCAGGCAACACAAGCATACAGTAGCCTTGTAGTCAAAGCCTTGCTTCCTTAGAGAAGCATGTTAAAACTCAAAATTGCTTCATTTACACTGCATATATATATTTAGGCATAGTATATTATTAGCCCAGCAATAGTAAATCTATGTTATTCAGACATTAAAAATAGTGACATAAAAAGAGAAATTTTCTGGTGGTGAATAGCTGCAAACTTACATGTCTTTGATGATCTGCAGTCTAAAATATTTCAGCATCTGATCTATCCTGAACTTCTGACCCTTATCCAAGCATTAGTTGCCTACCTACTCATGCAATAGCTCTTTGCATGCCACCCTTAAGAAAAGGTCATTTGCATGCTTTTCTTATGCAAGACACAAAGCAGACAACCACTTTTTTTTTTTGACATGTCTCCCTCGTGCTCTGTGTTTTTATGCTATTTTTACATGGAAATTCTTAAAATGCAGAAAACAGGAAATTTGTGCCGAGACCAGTGATTTATGAACTAAAATATCATAAATTCCTTGTTTGTTAATCATCCACAGAGCATAAAATATTTCCTGTATTATGTTTCTAACATGCTTTTTTTCTTTACATGTTGCCAAAGTGACAGGAAATTCAAATGTAGAGTGAAAACAGTCTTGCATGTGTGTGAAAGTTTACATTCCAGGTCAGCCACATACTCTGGCTTTTGGAGTTTGTGACAAAGTAAACACATCACTGCGTCACTCAGACTGGAGACAGATCACTCATTTCACTGGAAGCCTGAGGACAGCCTGCAGACTAGGAGCATGGATGCTCAGAACTCTCTTGGGTTGTCTCGTGACAGCTTTGATGTGCCAAATCCATTGCAGAACTTCCAGCCTCTGAGTAAGGCAGGCATGAGTAAAATGGGTTTTGTTACTTGCACCAGAACTACAAAACCACCAACTTTCCATAAATAACTCTGATTTGGTATGTCTAAAAATTGGGCAATAAACCATCAATGACTTTGAGCTCCCATAAAGCATTTCCCTCTTGCAGTTTCACATCTAAACATCAAATTTTCTGATTCCAACATGCAGGCTGATATTCTTTATATGGCAGAAAGACCAGTTGCAGGTGTTCTACTAGAGGTGAGCAGTCCCAGGCTACCTTGGTAAGTAACTTGTGTTGCTATCCTTTCTAATGTTCTCATAAAATGGGTCAAGCAATCCTCCCAAACAAAGTGCCTTAACCTACCCCTAAATGCCTAAGTGAAAATGGTGATAAAAGGTGGCTCCATAAGAATTCTCACTCCTCAGCATCTGACTCCCTGGTGGAGCATGTACAAAGGCAATACAGCTTTCTCCTGTATTTGGTTCTCTTTCCTAATCAAAACATTGATCTCATTCACATACATGGATCACTTCACCTTTGTTCTCTTTGGAAAGACATCCAAAAGCATAGTAATTGCTACCATGTTTACACTTCTCTGTTATAAAAAAAGAACATCCCTGCAAATGGCTTTCACTTGGGCAGCTGCCTAGGCATTACAGAGTGAATTTACTATTGACCTAGGGGTCAAAATTAATATCCATAACCTCAAGGAGAGATAGCTTCCAATGTAATTTTAGCTCTCTGACAGCCACTCAGTCAATCCTCCTGGGTGATATGAGGAAGGCAGAACAAATTTACCTTCAAAGAAGAAGCTTCATAAAATCAGCCAACCTCTAGATGACTTCTTCCCTCAAACTGGGGTGATGCTGATGTTCCTTGGCATACTCCATATAATGCTGAACAACACAGTTCCTCTTGGCATTAAATGAAGGTTTCAGCAGTGCAAGGGTAAGAAAACATCAATCCATGAAGACCTGAATTCTTTTTCATTTGGACCTTGAAGTGGGGACATACTTGGGTAGATAATCTGTATAACAAGTAAATACAGCTTTCCAGACTTTGTGTGTGCAGGGAAAGGGAAAAAAAATTGCAGGGGAGGATACTCAGTGGCATCATCCAGGCTTGTACCACTGGACAGTCACTTTGTAGGACAGGCCTGGCAATCTCAGCTCACAAAAAACAGGTGTGAAGTTAATGAAATGTATTAGAATGTGATCACTTCCAATATGGCAACATAATTAAAAAAAAAAAAAACAAAAAACCAACAAAAAAAACCAAACCTGAACAGATCAGAGAGAGTGAAGAAAACTGTCCTTTTACTGAAAAAAAACCCACATTATATTTCCATATGTGTTATCATTGATGTGAAAAACAATTGTTTAATTTACAAACCTGCTTTCTTTTCTTTTTCACAGCAGGTTTGGAATTTGAATCTTGACAGGCTGCTGTCTTGTTTTCATTTGTTTTTTCAAAAGCTTCATCATCTGAAGGATCTAATCAAAAACAAAGAAGAGTTCTTGTTACTGTTTTTCAAATCTATCTACCCATCTTTCCATTCAAAAACAGGCATAAAATCTCTAGCTGAAAATTGCCACCCTAATACAATCTCATGATTGGTAATAAATACAGCTGTAACAAATACATTCTTCTTGCTAAGTTTGCTGATACTTCTTTCAAAATAAAATTATTTCTTCCTACTAAAACAAGTCTTGCAGACAAAGGAGAAAAAAAATCCAAGCAAACACATACAAAAATGCATTAAGTCCATGCTCCCAAATGCCTTACTGACACACATTAAAGAGGAAAAATTACAAGACGGGTATAATGTTCTATTGTGTAAAGAATATGCACACTTCCTGCAAGAACATTAATTGTGTCTCTTACTTCAGCAGTAATTAGACAAAGGCACCACCCCCAAAGTTTGAGCAGAATGTCCACAAGACTAAAACACATTTATGTTTTAAAAGACAATTAAATTAATTCAATTCAGGTGTCTTTACCCATTCTCTTATTCACCTCTTTTATCTACAGAGAGACTTTGAGGAAAAAATAAATGCACAGAAACGGCTCCCTCCAACAGTGTTCTAATAGTGCTTTAGATGTATTCAAACACAGACATTTCTACTGGGGACTGAGTTACTTCCCTGATTATTGCCAGAAACATTGTCAAACTCAATTAATTTAACTTCTGTAATTGGAATATATCTGTCCAACAGGTATTCAGTCATTATTGCAATCTCTTGTATTCCAAAGTTGTAAATTCACAGCTTCAAGATTAAGTTATTTATATTGAAAAGAGAGGAACAGAAAGATTTCTTAAGCATCATCCCAAGTATAGATGATATAACTATATCAATGTAATCACCAGTTGTGAACAGAGTAAACTGGTAGCCAGAGAACATGAGAGAGAGAAAATCAGTCATAGCTGGTATTTACAAATTCCATGTTTAAATAGGTAAAGGGATAAAAGAGGGAAGGGAAGAATCTCTATTAATCCACAAATGCAGCATTATATATTATGTGGCAATAAGGCAATGGCTTTAAAAATCCTAATGTGACAGAATGAGTAACAAAATGAGTACATATTTATTCCTGGAAAGGTACAATCTCATAACCTTCACTCCTTTTTCCCACCTTGAAAAGCCTTGAAAGTGTAACAGTCAACACCCTAAACCTGGGGTCTGACACTGTTAGGAGGTCAAGAAAGTTTAGGAAGTTGAAAGGTATTAAAGAAAATCAGTGAATGTTTTAGCAGGTTGGATGCCATTTGTCATGAAATCTTACTTGATATAGACTAGATTCTTGGCAAACCACAAGAACTTTAGAAAGAGAGCAGCAACTGAGAAGAGGATTTGTTTTCTGTTCAGTAAGAGACTAATAGACTCCCAAGTGAAGAGGGTAGATAAATATGTTAATCAACTTAATTAAGACCAAAATAAATGCCATGGAAGAAATGACAGCAGTGGTTTGTATCTCAACATAGGATGAACACATTCTGAAATCTTAAAATAGGAATTCACCAAGAAAAGCCCTGGCTTTCCAGCTCTGGAGCAAATGCAGGAGTGTGTGCAGCAGGTGAACACCGCAGCTCAGCTGACCCGCTTGGTTCTCCTTGCAGGCACCGCCTCAGAGCAGAGCTGAACGGACTGTGGCCACGCCAGCGCCAGAGCCCAGGCAGAAACGATGGGCCTAGTCCTGCACCCCCCAACACATGGCAGCAGGTGAACAGGGCACAAAGAAAGCTCAAAGCTAGTGGGAAAAGCTTTTCCTTACAGTACAGAACAATTATCTTTCTCTTGAGGGTGCCCAAGTGCTCCTGTCCCTGCACAGCAGCAGACCTTTCCTGCCTACTCCTCTCCGAAATCACTGAGCACTTACGTCCCCCAGCCACTCTGGAATCTCAGATACAACACTTAGTTAGAAGAAGCTGAAAAATCACATCATTCAGCATACTCCAGAAAGTTCAAAAGGTGTCTTGGTAATTCAGTGTTACCACTGGCCATTACCATGGCCTTGTTGCCCTGTGCATCACCATTCCTCTGGTACATTTATTGTGCTGTATTTTGGTAAGGCAGCTTCTGTATTTAAGGACCCATCACTGACTTCTGTCTCATTTGCCCTGACTCCAGAGATACTGAAAGTGACCAACTTTAACACACACCAGCTCCACACCCTTGGGGTCTTGGACACACTGCATTGAAGCAGGCTGTGGAGAGATTATATAAATGAAGTACATCAAAGAAATCAGAATTGCCTTTTCATCCCTCTTGCTCACTGCGCTTGAGCCCCAAACACCCACTCCAAAATGAATTTGTGCATGAACTGAACTGCTGTGTGAGCTCTTTCCAATGTTTCACATTGAAAATAAATGAGAATTGCATCAAATAGATTCAGGGGAAGCTGCCTGCGATCTGCAAGCATTCCTTCTGAAATCCCACTTGGCATGCTCTGAAAGGCAACAGGAGTCATGTAAGTCTTAAATAACTTCTTCTCTTTCTCACAACTGAAAGACATGCTGCTAGCAATAGCAATCTAAAACTGGACAAATGGTTTCCATGATCTGAAATAGCCTGACAATGTACCACCTGTTCACTGCTCATTTGAGTTTTGGACAGCACTTCATGGTGCAATGTCCTCTGCTCTCCGCAAGAAGTGAGAGAAGAGGGCACAGACTCAGTCTCAACAAACATCAGTTCAAATTTGAGCATCTTTCTGCAGTACCTGAGCATCTTTATTTCATACAACTGGAGAACTTTCTATCTATTCCAGAAACAATCACCCACATCCCAGTCAGGACAGCAGCTCATCTCAAACTGTAATTGTTTGTGACACCATGTCAGCTCCTGTGATGACAGGAGCATTTTGTTGCAGGCATCAAAGTACCACAGGCCAGACTCTGCCAACCATGCTCACATTAAACTGAGTACCTTTCTCTGAAAATAGTTACCTTGATGTCAGTGGGGTTACTCACAAAATAAATCAAAGTGTGATGCAGATCAATGCAGAAGCTCAGAGATCACAAGCATGTCTGTAACAGACCAGCGCTGCTTGCCCTGCTTTGAGGCATTGAGCTTCCCTGGAGACCTCTCTCTGCCAGAACAGGAGAATTCACAAATCCTTCCTTAATAATAAACTGGTGAAAATGCAGAACCTAATTGATTAGTACAAAGCGGACTTTCTTGTGGCTTGAGGTGCAAAGGAGCGGGCAGGCAGGCGCTGACAGGACACGCTGCTTGCAGGGTGCTGCTGCTGAGCACAGCAGTTCTCTGCCTCTGCTTCCCCGAGTCTTACGGCTCTGACGCAGCCACGAGGTCGGCCAAGGCATCAGAACAGTCACAAAACGCTCTCAATAGAGAAAAAGATACGGCAATTCCACAACTCTCCCTGTGTTTTGGTATTGCATTATTACATCAGCAGCATGGCATATACTAACAGGCTTCCCAGTCATGAAGTATTTATATTTGATCTTAGTTTGAACTGTGTAAAAATGGAAAAAGCCATTTCTGCTTCACACATGCACACACACACACACACAAAGACCAATCACTGTTTAAAGTCATCCAGTGCACTGGTTTCTAACTTCTTTCAAATTTAGTACCATCATATGCATGTAGTCTAAGTACATCAATATGTGTACTAATTACACACATGTAAACACTCGTATTAATACCTACACATCTGCATGGTTATACACATTCACTTAAAAAAGTACAGAGATATTTAAATAATTTAACAGGCTCACTTTAATAATCACCTTTGTTAACTAATATATTCACAGAAAATTCATATTTTTTCATTATTTACTATGGTATTTTTAAAGGCAAACAAAACCTTAATGAATATAGCATGCAATGACATGTGCTTTGATGTGAATGCAATTTTGTTCATACAAAATAGCCGGTACATACAAATTTGCATTTGCTAGCTTGATTCACCGTTACTAAGACTTCTGACCTTTACATGCCACGTTTCTACTCTGAAATCAATAAAATAGGAGTTATACATAAATAATTAATTCCTGTAAGAACAAAGGATGACTGAAAAAGTGAAAATCTTCTAGGCAGGACACTTCCAAACGCCCCAAAAATAAATAAAAAGTTACAACTGAAAATAATCTTAAAATTCTTTGGGAAATGCAGCTTGTGGTTCAAGCCAGCCTACAACTGAAATAAAGATAAATGCAGCTCATAGAAATTATGCGAGCCATGGGAAGCTTGTTACAAGACAGGAATATGAAGAAAACAAAAGGAGCGTTTTGAGAGAGGAAGGAGGCAAGGTTCTTAGAACTTGTCATAATGTAGGAAGAACCAACATGTAATTAAAAAGAAAACTTGGAACAGAAATATGTTGTTTTGCATACGTACCCAAAGATAAGTGAGAGAATAATTTCTGTTAGA